CCCCCCCAAAGCACCGCCCAGCCTGGCACCCCGCAGCACCCGGTGCCAAGGCGCAGGGCTTGGGGAGCCTCCCGGGGAGCCGGGTGAGGGAGGGCGGACAGGGCAGTGGGGGTGAGGGAGGACGGGCAGGTCAGTGAGGGGTGAGGGAGGACGGACAGGGCAGTGGGGGGTGAGGGAGGGCAGGCAGGGCTGCGGGGGGTGAGGGAGGACGGGCAGGGCTGTGGAACAAAGAGGGTCAATGATTGACTCGGGCTCGGCCTCCTCCCCGGGTTATTGCCATTTTATGGCTCTAACACCCCCAGCTTTAAAAAAGTCGCTGACGCATTGGTGACCCCTCCTACCCCTGCCCAGAATCACAGACCCCGCCCCAGCGGGAGCCTGGCATGAACTGGGGGGCTCATGCCCCCGCATGCCCCCGGCCCGGCCCAGCTGCTGGATCGCACCTGGCGGCCAGTCGTGGGCAGAGGACAGGGCTGGGGGCGGTGGGATTTTCTGGCGCAGGAAGAGGGTTTCTTGTCCGTGTTTTGGTCTGGGAGGTTCTTTTCCCTGCGGGTGCAATACCCAGCACTGGTTCGCCCTGGCTGGCAGCCTCCCCCGAGCCGTGACTAGGTGTGTTTCTGGAGAGCCTGGGGCCTCAGCCACAGGCCAGGCCCTGCACAAACCGGTCCCTGCTCTGAAGAGGGACCTTATGCGCAGCTGCCAGCGCTGCACCCAAACCTGGACAAGTCTTTCCCCTCGGGCCTGAGCGGAGCCCCGACGAAGCCCCTTTAATTCAGGCTGGTTAAAGCACCCGGGGTGTTGCTTAGGGCGGCGTTCCTAGGGGAGATGGCCCCCGGCTGCAGTAACTGGCCAGGGCTCCTGGGGGAACGGCAGGCCTCACCCCCTGGCGGGAGATGTGCATGTTAAAGATTCGAGCCGCTTCCAGATAAGGGCTGTAACGAGTCTCAGGCCACATTTCTGCAGCCTCTGGCCAATCGGACCTGCCGTCTGTCTCCAGTGCGCCCAGAGCCGGCCCAGCCCCAGGCCGCCTCTGAGCTGGGGCCAGGGGGTTACGCCCGGGCCTAATGAGCTGAAGGCAAACGAGGGACCGTCTAGGCAGGAGAGGCGCTAAAGCTGCCAGACCATGGCCCATGCCAGCCGGCGGGATGGTGGTTAATGACATTTGTCTTCCCGTTGCCCAAGGAGAATCGGCGCCCCCGTGTCCCACCCCCACCCCCTGAGCCAGCCAGAGCTCGCATAGCCCAGTTCCCCCGTCCCACCTGGTCCAGCCCGGCTCCCCGACCCAAAGCTGGGCCGGGGTGGTGCCGCCTAGTGGTGACAGACACCTGCCATTGCAACCAGAGTGGCACCAGGGTCCCACAAGTGGGCGGCCGGATTTCGCCTCAGCTCCGTCCCATCTCGATGCTGTGACCTCCCTCCCCCACCAGAGGGCAGCAGGGGGGTTCTGTTTGGGCTCGTGGAACCGCCAGCAACACGGGGCCCGATCCCGCAAAAAGACCCTCGACCCCACTGCGGGCCGCGGCCTGTGCCGATAACTGGGTCGCTCGGGCTCAGGAGCCGCCGCTGAACCGCGGGGAGAGCTTCCGAAGGGCCGAGTCGCCCGTGACGGGAAAGGCTGAGTCGGGGGCAAGGTGCACAGGGGAGACGCACAGACTGGGCTGGGCCAAACAGAAACGTCTCTGGATCCCAGCCAAGGCCGGTGTGGAGATCGTGTTCGGTAAACAAACGAGAACGGGATGGAAAATGAATGGGCCAAAATTGGTGCATTGGAAACTAGGCTTAATTGGTGGACGACACAATGAGGAGGCTGGACTATGCCGCCCATCCCCGCTCTGGGGTCCTTGAAAGAGACTGCGGGGGGAGGATTGAAATGACGGAGGGGAGGATGGAAGGAGGATGGAAAGAAGCAGAATTTCTTCTCTCCGAGCTCGGGACAGAACTTGGCACCTGCCTAGCGCTGGGTGACGATCACTGATCAGTGATAACTAATAACTAATAAATTTGTTAGTCTCTAAGGTGCCACAAGTACTCCTGTTCTTTCTGATCACTGATCACTCGCTCTAACCACTAGTCCCCACTCCCCTCTCAGAGCCAGGAGAGAACCCAGGAGTCCGGGTGCCCAGCCCCCCCCCCCAGTCCTCCCTCACCCCCACAGCCCTGCCTGTCCTCCCTCACCCCCACAGCCCTGCCCGCAGCCCTCACCCTGCACCCCGCCTGGAGCCATGGCACCTTCACCATCCGAGTCCTGAGACGTCCTGGCCAGGCCAGGCCAGAGATGAGATTGTCCCCTCTGGCAGCTCCGGCTAACTCTCTAAACGCCTCCTAGACCATGAGACTGGGGCTCCTGCAGCTGCCTCCCCCTCCCTTGGTTTCGTTTGTCTTCCTCAGTGTATTTTTTCCTCTCTGGTTCCTAAGATCCTGTCTGAGCCGGCCGGGCCTGTCTGTTCACCAGGGCTGCTGTGAGCCTGTGCCCAGAGAGGCAGTTAAAAGCAACGCCCTAAACAGCCCATGTTGGTATGAGTTTGCCAGGTCTCGGCGCGGCTGGTCAGACCACGGCCTGGGCCCGTGTTTCTCCAGCGCTGAGGTTGCATATGAGAGTCGGCAGTGGAGACAGACGCCCGGGTCTCTCTCTCACGTCGCTGTTCTTCTCTGCCTTTGCCTGGCCTTAGCGTGTTTAGTCTTAGGAGAAGCAGGGATGGACTTTAACGCCAGTGAAAGGACGGTTGAGACCATCTTCAGCGGCCTCTGAATCTGTACACGCTGCTGCAGCCGCAGGGACCCGGGGTGCTGTGAAAACGAAAGCCCAACAGATGCTCCAACTATTTGCCCTCCTTTTTTCCTTAGTAAAAGGCTAGAAACAAGGACCAGTGCCTTTGCCATGGGACCGAGCAGGCTGCGTCTCCCTGCGCGAACCCCTGCCCCGGGTGTAACTGCACAGTGCCAAGGTCCCGTTGCCCCTGGGACTCTCTGGCCCATTCATCGCACTGCAGGCAACATCACTGGGTACTGAATTCGGGCCTTTGCGAATGACCCAGAGCCGATGCTGTCCCGGAGGAGAGGGAAATTAGGAGAGGGGTGCTAGTGATGGGGGTGAGGGCTCTGGCTTTCCACTGGCTAGTGATGGGGGTGGAACAATGAACACATGCGGAGGTCCCGGAAGCAGGGCTGCCCAGAAGGGGGGGGGCAAGTGGGGCACGAGAATGTAGTATTCTATAGTATTGCAACTTTTTTTTATGGAAGGGGCCCCCGAAATTGCTTTGCCCCAGGCCCCCTGAATCCTCTGGGCGGCCCTGCCCTGGAGACGGTCCCAGTTCCCGAGGTCAGGGGAAGAGAGGAGAAAATGGCACGAAGATGGAAGCAGTGGAACCATCTCGATGCAAATGAACGTTTGGGGCCAGGTCACTTCTCCTTTCCTGCGGAGCTCGCCCAGCCCAGGGGAAGCGCTGACGGGGCCGTGGCCGGGGCACTCACCTGGGCCGCAGGGGAAGGAGATCAGATCCCCTGCCCTGCCTGCCTGTGGGCACGGCCCTGCCGCTCTCGGGGCGCGCCCGGGCGCACGGCAGCTGAGTGCTCTCTGGGAGGACTGGGGGCTCCCCAGAGCTCTGCCACAACGCTGGGCAAGCACCTTACACCAACCGCTGCAGAGAGGAAGCACAGTCTAGTGGTTAGGACGCTGGCCTGGGGCGCAGGTAGCCGGGTTTCAATTCCCCGCCTCCCCAGACTGGCTGTGTGACCCGGGGCAAGTCACCAGAGCCCAAACCTTCCCCGGGTGCAAAGTGTCCTCACACAGCGAACGCTGGGGGTTGTCTCCGCACCTCCCTTCCCCACCTGCCAGGACACGGGGGAGACCGGGAACCACAGCAGAGCAAGGACCCAGCCTGACTGAGAACCCTGCCAGCCTCCCACATGAGACCTGCCCAGAGGCCTAGGCACCGGGGGCTGCCACCCAGTGCCCAGGCTGAGCCTGGGAAAACCCCTCCCCCAGCGCCTGCGGCCTGACTATGGGCACCCCAGCCCAGGCAGTGCGCTGGCCTCGCACTGAGCCCCCCACTGTGTGCCCCCAAGCACCAGTGCCCCCCGTGCGCCCCCAGCCCTACCTCCCCCCGTGCCTCGCTGCCCCCCAGTGCCCCCCACGCGCGGGGCCCGGCTAACCTTTCCCCATCGCGCCACGCTCCCCAAGCACCGAGCCCCCCGGCGGCCCCCGGCCGTGCGCTTCCCGAGGGGCAGTGCCTAGCCCGGCCCGAAGCCCCGCCCACGGGCCCTGCCCACGCCATAAGCCGCGGGCTGAGCGGGGTTGCGGCTCCCGTGGCGGTGCCGGGCATTGATGGCTGCGAACCGGGTGGGCAGGCGGCTGGGACGGGGGTCCCCGGCGCGCTCTCCGGGGAGTCCCCGGGCGGAGCCGGCCCGCAGCCCCGGGATCCAGAAGCGCCAAGCCCGGGTGACGGTGAAGTACGACCGGCGGGAGCTGCAGCGGCGGCTGGACACCGAAAAGTGGATCGACGGGCGCCTGGAGGAGCTGTACCGGGGCCGGGTGAGCGGCGCCGGGGCGCACGGGACGGGCGAGCGCCGGGGCTGAGATGGGGGCGCGGCTCCGCCATCCTCAGTCCCGGGACACCCAGACTTTCTTCTCTCCGAGGTCGGGACAGAATTTGGCACCTGCCTAGCGCTGGGTGAAGTTCACTGGGCAGGGCCGGGCCATGGGACAGCCACTAGCCCCCACTGCCCTCCCAGAGCCGGGAGAGAACCCAGGAGT